CTTAATTTAAAGTTAACTTTTATTTTTAGTCAATACATCAAAGTTTCGGAGAAAATACTGAACTTTTGCTCAAAAATACTTAAACAACACAAAATTCGTGGATTTAAAAACGTTACTTAAAACTTTAAACAAGAGAAAGTGAATTAAAAACTGAATTCAAATATCAATAAGAATTTGAACAGTATGTGAGCCCTGGACTCAACACAAAGTGTGAGAAAAAACTGTTTAAAGAATTTGTAAAGAATTCGATTGAATACAAGAATTACCAAAATATGACATCAATTGCCAGAATTTCAGTGAAAGGCAAGTATTGAACCATTAATTCATTATTCTTATGATTAACACAAGTGATTGGAAAACTAGAATTTTATATAAACTTATGGTTTAGTTGTGGCCCTTTAAATAAATTCACATCTTTACTGTTTATCTGTTTATTGATAAACAAACTTTTAATTGTGCCCTTTAATTCATTAATAATTTTATAAATTAATAAATAAATTTTATAAAATTAAATTGTAAAAGGTATATATTTTAAATTTAAAGTAGAGTATACAATTAACTAATAGTAATGTCAATGAACTGAACCTCAGGTTTGAACGAATGAACGCCATTCCTATTCGGCTAACAGTTTTGAGTCTATGTTTCCCTCTCTCTATGAAAGCGCTTACAGTTTGGTTCAAACGTACGAATCATATGTGAGACAAACATCTCCAGATGTTTTTGTCTCTCACCCTCTCTGATGACCACTCTATGCCCCCCAATGACCACTACTAGCCATACAATAGTGAATGTACTGTAGTGTACACTACCAGACATTGTGTTCAGCTATTGTTCCCTTCTCTCACTCAACACTTTTGCTCATCTCTTGATTAAAGTTAACAAGTTATCAGATATTTCTCTCAAAAATAACCCAGACAATATTCCAAGAACTTTATAATAAATAAATTATTAAGTAAACCGTTAACTATTTGAGGCAACTAATGTTTAATTTCTTTTTAAAATATTTTTAAATTGTAAAATTCCAATAAAAATGTCCCGAAAATTGTTTACATTACTTTGCTATATATTAAACAGGGCAAATTATTTTGTAATTTCAATAAAAATATTCAATTGCAAGAGAATTGAGTAACACTTTTATGGTTTGAGAGACTATTGGATTTCATTTTTGTTTATTTAAAATTTATTGTCCATTTTTGTGCATTATATAATCATTGAGATTTTTGAATGCATTATATGAAATTGCATTGAATAATGAGTTCAATATTTAAATTATATTTAATTATTTGATGAAAACTTTTCCTTAAATCAAATCCAAATTGATTTCACTCTTTGTAACCGAAACGCGAATTCAATTCAATTCTCGTTTTGTATTGAATAATGAATACTATGTATTGAATTGGTGTAGCATTTGAGGCACTATTATATGTGCGCCCGACTCGACTCCGATATCCTTATTCGAGTGCCAGTGCTATGTCTGCCATCGGTTGTGTTGGTATCGCATACTTTCTCCCCTTAGCTGCCATAGGAATGGTAGTGTCTGGTAGTGTCTAAGCCAAGGTCCACAACCAAACCATTCCTGTTTTCAAGTTTTTCTTCTTTTTTCTCTCTGTCTCTACATATACTCCAAACCATAATAGAAATGCATTTGAATTTTGTGTGAAGTTTAGGGTTTTATAAGGTTTTGCTTCCATTCGACCAAATGTTTTATCAGAAATACTAAAAAATAAATTCTTTTGTATTGAAAACATAAAACATTAACCACCCATGCCACCAATTTATTTAAATTCAGTAGCATTTATGTCACTATTAGTTGTCAATTCATTGCTATAGTTTTAGTAAATTAAACACAAAATTGTTAATTTTATTTTCGGTATATTTAGAGGAAATGAGTTTTTATTATAAAATAAATTTTAATTTAATTGTTTTTTATTTTAAACAGATTATCTCTTGAATGATTTTATAAACTCTTGTCTTTATTTGCATTAAATAATACACTTTTGCTATTTTAATTGTCAAGTATTTCTCAATTTACTTTAAACATTAAATACAAATTAAGAAATTAATATCAATTGAATTTATGTTATAAAGTTATTATAGTCACACAAAAATGCGCTAAATATGACTTGAGACAAACTCATTTTGTGTTCATATAGATCGTGGCATTAGTTGCATAAATGCAAGTTTATAAGTAGTTTTTAAATCACTTGAAAATTATGATTAAAAAGCACTGAATTTATTAGTAATGAAATTCTATATTCAACACATGTGTTAATTGTTTGCTCAGAATTTGTGAATACTTTATTTAATTACTGATAGTATAATCGCTTGTTTTACACTTGAGTTTCATCAAAGAATAAAACGCTTAATATTTTAAAGTTATTTATTCTGTTGGCATCAGTCGATTGCGTAAACAACTTTTCAAAAAATAAAATAAAATTGTAATATAAAATCATTTGCATATAGTATATATTTGTGTGCTATCCTTTTGTATAAAATATATTATAACATGATGTATAAGAATCGGTCAATTCTCAATGGTTTGTTTGTGATCATAGTTTATGAATTGCAATCATTTTGTTCTTATGAGTATATATAATACTGTAGAATAAACATATTTATAACATAGTTATATTAATGTTACATAAATAATTTATTTTTCAATTAGTGAGCAATCAATAAATTCGAGATAAACTCGTATATAATGAATTTAATTGTTAAATATTACACACAGTATATAACATTGTAGCATTAACTCTGATTATACTGCAATACAGTATTTGATTAAATTCTTACTTTCCATTCTTTATATATAAATTTTCCAAAATATACTAATTTGTATTATATTGATCTTTTAAATATTCATAAATTGTTTGATATTTGCAGATTAAAAGCGAATTATTTTGGTTTTGATTAACACTTTTTGAAGAATATTAGCCATTGATTTCTATTAAATCTCAGTGTTTGTTGGAATTATTTAGAATATATGGCAAAACAGATACTGGAGTCAAACCAATCGATAAAATGAATATAAGCTTTTATTTGATGTTATGCTCATAGAAAATATTATTTCAAAATATTTTATATCATCGAATTTAGTCATCAAAATGTTTGAACAAATGATGATTTTTTAGTTAAGTGAATATTAATACATACATAATACTAATAAAAATTTTAATTATTAATTTATTAATACATTAATTAAAGTAATTAAGTCACGAGTGACTTGTATTTTGGTTTCCAGAATATATTAGGAATTGTGATGTCCATTTATTGATAGTTACTGAAAAAATTGTTTAAATCAATTATTATTATATACTATATCGTGTAAAATTTAAATTTAATAATAATATTCCCAAATAAATTCGTTTCTTATATTAGCTAACATTTACAGTTAGAAATTCTAAGGTTTAATAGGAAATCCAAAGTTAGTCTAATATAACTCATTAAGAATCGTGTTTATGTGAATCAATGCATAGAATAATAGAATTAATTTATCAAAGAATTATCTCCTATTCATTGCATTCTCTCCATTGGATTAAAATAAAGAGTGTTTTGAATGTATTCACAAAATAGCAAATAATTGCCTCAAAATTGATGTGAAGATAATATCAAAATTACTTCGTATACAACAGATTTTACTACCGGTATTTAAAACAATATTTTAAAATTATACATTTCAAGTGAATTCAATAGATTCTGATCTAAAACACATTTTAAAAACTAGTATTAAATTATCAGATTTTTGTTCTCATATTTCGATAAATGTTTAGAAATTTGAATTAATAAAGAATTTATATGTAAAGAATCAATACATGAAATCAATGTATTACATGTGCAACTAAATAAACCATTAATTGTGAATTGATTTAGTGAACAATGATGTGATTGAACCCAATGTTAAATTGAATATATAGCAAACATAATATAAATTTAGTCAACTATACTGCACTACAGTATAAATATTCTTATTCTCAATTGTAGCACATTTTTCATCATTAGTTGTCTGTATATACAGTATATAAGCAGAGATGTGAAGCAGTGTTCGGGCGTTCACCTCAACTCTCAACATACTGTCCAACACTGCACTCTCCCATCATCTCTCTCGTAGGCTCTCTCTCTCTCTCTCTCTCTCTCCGCTCTTGTGCTCCCTTTCCTGTAATGTTATACTAGTAGAGTATATTGTATGTGAAAATGTGAAACTAAATTAATAAATACAGTTGTGTTGTGAAGTAATAATAATTATATAACTATAAGCACAACACATGTAAATAACTGATATGAATACCGTATATGAATTATATGAGAAATATCGAGATCTCGATGAGAATATAGTGTAGAAATTCATGAGCTATTTGTTAAAAATATATTTTGTCAAATTGACGACTAATTCAGAAGTTTGTGTATTTTCATAGCCTATATTCTGTAAACACATGACTATTAATAGTATTCAATAAATTAAATGCAAATTAATTTACACAAAAACAATGGTATTTACAAAGCATTTGCCTTAAATGAGTTAATAAATTATTTAAAATAACTTTTCATACAAACATATATTGAAATGAAGTATTGAATTGTTTGTTTGAAAAAAACTTTTTTAAAATGAGATAATTGTTTGAGTGAAATGTGCGGAACAGGTTCTGCGGGATCCAGTACTGGTGATATGCCCCGGGCTATCCTACAAACAATTCATATGATATACGGTAGATATCCATTCAACATATTGGCCCCCGATTTACATTCACGTTGTTTGTGGTGAGCCCTCACTCACAATGTGTTTTCAATTTGTTGCTCTTTAAACATGCAATGCGTTTGTAATACACGTTCATTGGCTACCATTGGGGGCAGTGTTGGCCCCAAACACAGCATAACTCAATGCAAACAAAACATTGTCTCTAATGTTCACAACATTGACGACACTTTTGTTTGCAATCACTTCATCTGATCTCTTGGTGTTTGAGACAATTGGGTGATAGTTGTGGTGATAGTTGTGGTGACAAATGCTGGAACCGATTCGCCATATCCTTCAGCGACAGCGTCTGGTGTTGGCGTCGGCCTCCGAGCGGCGCAAACAGATCCTGTCGTCCATTGGTCTCGAGTTTGAGTCGATTTCGTCGAACTTTGCGGAGAATCTTCCGAAGGAGTCATTCAGTCATCCGATTGAATACGTGAAGGAAAACGCGAAGCAGAAGGCCATCGATGTGTGGAAACAGTTGTCGGGCAGTAGTGGCCACAGACCCGACCTCGTGATCGGCTGCGACACTGTTGTCACACTCGACGACACCATCTTCGAGAAGCCCAAAGACCAGGAGGACGCCCAACACATCCTCTCGAGACTGTCGGCCAACAAACACGTGGTCTACACGGGAGTAGCGCTCGTGACCCACTCGACCACCCAGTCGTCGGGCACGTCAGCCCAGGCCTCGTCCAGTGCGGCCGACGCTAACGACAGTCCGGAAGACTATGTGGTGACCACTTTCCATGAGGCCACCGATGTCTTCATGACTGAGTTGAGTGAACACGTGATTAAGGCATACGTGGCCACCGGTGAGCCCATGGATAAGGCCGGCGCTTATGGCATTCAAGGCATCGGCGCTACCCTCGTTGAGTCCATTCGCGGCGATTACTTCAATGTCGTAGGCCTTCCCCTCCACCGACTATCCAAAGAACTGTATCACATGTACGTCGAATGAGTGCTACCATTCCGACTACCAGTCCAGAAGCGAAGTGTCTTTCAAATTAGCGCTTAAATTGTTTTCAATTTTTCAGCTCTTTTTATATATATTCAGACCAATCGATCGATTGATATATTAATTGATTTTGAATTTTTGTAATCAATTAATTGTTTGTATATTTTTATAAATATATGTTTTAATGTATTTGTCTAAATATCCATTTGTTTTCCCAATTAATGTTTATTTGAAAACATTTCATTCGAGTCTAGAATACAATATAAATATTTTGTTGGGTTTTGTTTTACAGAAATACATATTTATCGGAATCCGAAGAATTATTTGTGTGTTTTGAATGTAAATATCTTTAAAACAGTGGTAATAAAAATGGGTTGACTTTGAATTCGCGCATAATTTGCATAAATATTTACAATCGAAAGATAACTTAAATGTAAAACAATTGGATATAAATTATTTCTAATTATTCACGATATTCTTGTAGCAAATGCTTTGTTATGAATACCATTTCTGACTAATAAAGTGATATTTTCGTAATATTTTCAATTGATATTATAGTTATATAATAAATTATATTTGAAATTTATTTTTATGAAATCATAAGCAAATACTCGATTCTCAACAAATGAAAGGCAAAAAACTTGTTTTTTATATTTTTATGGCTAAAGTAATGGTTTGTGTTTCAATGAAACTCTTTCAACGGAAATCTTAAATTAAAAATTGAATTATAAAAAGGACTAATTCTTTCAAATATTTCAATTGGGGTATACTTTTAACTTAAATTATTTTACAGTAGTTTTTTGCAAAATACTTTTAAAATCAATATGTGTTTGAATAAAGGGTTATACAGAATAAGCGACTAATAAGAAACGCGTGATTGCATTCACTTTACTTTATCTGTTTATTACATTTTGTTAGATATGATAATAAGTTATTTTAGTAAAAATAGCTCTATTTTATGAGTTCTTTATTTTATGAATTTTTATAATTAATTTGTTGTCAATAATTGGATACTAAATACATATTAATTCCAAAAAATAACTCATTTTGCGATCAATATGTAAATAAACCTATTCAAATTCATTAATAAATAATTCTTTGATTATTAAAAATGAAATCTAGAATTAAAAATATGTTATTTAACTTTAATTAATATAAGCTTAAGTTAAATATTTAAATAAATTGTGATCATAATCTGAATCATAACTATCTGTAACAGTATCTTATAAAAGTATAAAATTATGGACAAAAATCTCCAGAATTTATTTATTTGTCTATCATTTTATTTGGTTTTTAATGACAAATATTTTATTTGAATTGCAAACAATATGAGTGAATATTTAAATTTAATTGGGAATAAATCACATAATGATTTGAATTACAATAAATTTTGGGCATCACTTCACTAAATTGAAAAAAGAAACTAATCAAGTTACTTTATGTATATTACGACATTACAGTATATCCTATGTTAATAGTCGGTGTATTAGTTATTATAGTACTTATAAGTTACTTATTCAACGTATTGTACTTATTGTAGTGTATTCTGTATTGTTTTAGTGGTGTATTTGTATGTATACTATATGTAGATCGTATTGGAATTGACGTGAATGCTTGTGCCCACACTAACCGTATTGGGCAATAACTGTTGAAACTATAGTCTTATGTTACGAGTATTGCAAGTGATTTGTTAAATCACTCTGAATACTTACCATATATCTTAGTATATTACATTATTATTAGTAAATTATCGTTACTAATATTTTCTATATTACTAATGAAAATAACAAAAATATTAGTATTAAATCAATTGTTGTTATGATTGTTTTATACTGAGATTCTCCTGCAATTGAATTATTTGCATTAGGTTCATAATTTGTGTGAATATTTTGTAAAATTCTGGTCTCAAAAAGCACTGTTAAGACATAAAATTTACTTATAATGAATAGAAAATTGAGTCTAAATTATTATATAATGTAATTCTTAATTAAATTAAACCTTTGTTTAATCAAATTCCTAATGATAATGATAATTTTTTTAATTAAATATAATTTTACTCTTTATTGGAAAGATTTAACATATACTGTATTAATATGTTATTATAACCATTTAATTTTGTCTAAAATCTAGTCCTATTGTAAAAATTAATTTAAATAACCCTTCTGGTATTCCATCTAAACATTAATCGTCTTTTTCTGGGAATATTTCAAAGTTATAGTGAATTTGAATCAATAATTTATAACAAAATGTAAGAACTATTTCTCGAATTTTCTAATCTGTGGATGAAATTAGTTTGGAAATTGTTTTTGTTGTCAAAATAATTTTCTTTCATGTATTGCTTTGTTTTGAATTAAGCGAAAAACACTTTAATATTAAACATAATTGTGTTTTCAATGATTTAATGCCAAAGTCATAGCTTTGACCGAATTTTAACAGAAAATTTCAGGATTTGTTGAAACGATTTTCGGGGAAAATTGTATTTTTTTATTCACAATTCACTGAATTCTAGTGTGAAATGCAGTGAATTGGGGCTCAAATCACAATCAAATAGAGGTTTTGTTGTTAGCATTCATACGTCGAGTACTAATACAAGGATCTGTATATGTGCTGCACATACCCTACCCTACAATATATGCGCTAATATACTATTATATGTCCTGTTTATGTGTTTTTTACTAAACTTTTCAAGTCATGAGTCTCACCATTCGTTAATTCAAATCTCATTATAATTGCGGAATGAGCAAGCAAACATATTGGTGGATGCACCCTGAACAATTGATAGCAAATTATTGACAAACATTTGAGTTTGAGAATTATCTGGTATATAGTGATGATGTCTATTATATCGTGGATACAGTGGAGCCATAATACAGAATAGTTTGGCATGGATGCACCCTGAACAATTGATAGCAAATTATTGACAAACATTTGAGTTTGAGAATTATCTGGTATATAGTGATGATGTCTATTATATCGTGGATACAGTGGAGCCATAATACAGAATAGTTTGGCATAAGTGTAGGCAATAGTAGGCAATAGTGTATTCGTTGGGTTCAATGTGTAAGGCATAGACTCTATGCCATAGAGTGTATGGCAGAGAGGCATACAATGCATACAATATATGGCATTTGGCGTACAGTTTGTTCAGTGTATGGCATACTGTATGGCATGTATTGGTGAGAGTGTTATCATTTTGAATGCATATGTTTGGCCGCATTCGCCTCAATGGCGTCTCAGTCAGTCTCAGCCCATGTATTGCAGCCTAACATACAATCCATAGCTTCTCA